CAGAGGTCAGGTATTGCTAGCAAAGCCGGAGCGGCCTTCACAGCGGCCTTGTCCCACTCTGAAATTTGCTGGTTTGGCTTGAGGCCATGGGAGGGAGGAGGGGCAGAAGGTCGATGTGGCTCACTCACCTCAGGGCAGCATAGTCGCCTTGGGGTATCATCTCTGGGGTCCTTCTCTGAACGTGATGTCATCAAGTTTCTGCCGACCAAGCACATGGGGAAGTCCAAAGGCCAGGTGACAGAGCCCTGAGAGCAGGTGGGCAGTCTCACAGCCATCTCGCAGGTGAGGAAGCCCAACCTGCACAGCTGAGGTCAGGAAGGGCCAAGCTTTTAGGAATGAGGGACAGCAATGACCTGGGCAACAGAGTGGAAGTGAGGGGCTGCTCAGGCCTCCCAGGTGCACTATATTTGGCTTGGTCAAGGTGAGGTGAGGTGGGGGGTCCATGAAAGGCAAACCTGTTTACTCACTGCCCAGAGACTGCCCCTCTGTGGTGACACTGTCTGCAGCAAGCTGTTTCCGGGGAAACTTCGCTGCAAATATGCAGGTTCCTGAAAGAAGCTGTGACCCTGAGTCACAGTCCCAGCAGGTGGAACGCAGGGACTGCCAGTGCCTCCAAGGTGGGGGCCAGATCACCCAAGAGCGAGCAGTGCCATGGAGAGCCATGTCTGCAACCCCAGATACAGAAAGATCTAAGGGAGAGGCGGAGATCAAGGAAAGGGCAACAGGTTGGCCTTGGCTTCTGAATCGTTGTGCAGCCAGGGACAGAGGAAGGTGGCTCCCACACCCAAAGCCTCTTGTGTGTTGGGGAGTCTCCCTGAGCAACTACTGACCTCATGTATAAATGGGGTGGTGCCCTTTGTGGCTGACCTTTTTCATACAGGTCGGACAGCTACGGAGGTTTCAGGGAGTCTCAGGGGCACTGGATGCAGAACACGTGGCCACATTCTGTAGACACGAGGGAGGGCCATTCTGCACAACCTCGGAGTATCTATCCCTGAAGATGGGACAGCAGACCGTGCCAGAGGACCCGAGCCCTGTGGTGACCTCCTCTCTGGCATTCATGGGTGTGGGCCGGGTCACAGGCACATCTGTCTCTGGGCAAGTCATCATGGTCGCTGCTCACGACACGGCTGTGGCATGGTCCTGGCACAGTCCTGGCACTGTCCTCCGGGCCACCTCCTTTCTTCCACAATCAGCACAGAGTCCAAGGGCTCAAGGTGAGGTCCACAGTTCCATCTCCATGGGCTCTGCTCCCTGGGCCATCTCAGAGCGGAGCTGCGAGTCTCCTGTCTGTTCTGGCCTGCCTGGAAGGTGCCGCTAGCCATGACGCCTCCTTCGAGCTGGGTTTAGTGGGGTCCCCGCATCCTGTGAACCCACAGAAGGAAACACCTTCAAAAGCGGATGAGGGGACTCAACCAGGTGCACTGTATTTGGCTTGGTCAAGGTGAGGTGAGGTGGGGGCCCATGAAAGCCAAGCCAGACCTGATCACTCACTGCCAAGAGACTGCCCCGTTGTGGGGACATGGTCAGCAGGAAGCTCGGTTTTCGGGGAAAATTCATGGCAAACATGCAGGTTCCTGAAAGAAGCTGGGACCCTGATTCACAGTCCCACCAGGTGGAACACAGGGTCTGCCTGTGCCTCCTAGGCGGGGGGCCAGATGACCAGAGAGAGAGCAGCAGCATGGAGATCTAAGGGGGAGGCAGAGATCAACGAAACTGAGATGGGTCGGCCTTGGCTTTTGAATCTTTGTGCAGCCCTGGACAAAGGGAGGTGGCTCCCACACCCAAAGCCTCCTGTGTGTTGGGTCTTCCTGAGCAACTACTGACCTCATGTATAAACGGGGTGGTGCCCTTTGTGGTTGACCTTTTGCCTACAGGTCGGACAGCTACGGGAGGTTTTCAGGGAATCTCGGGGGCACTGGCTGCAGAACACGTGGCCACATTCTGTAGACATGAGGGGATGGCCATTCTGCACAACCTTGGAGTATCCATCGTGCAGATGGGACAGCAGACCATGTCAGAGGACCCGAGCCCTGTGGTGCCCTCCTTTCTGGCGTTTCTGGGTGTTGGCGGAGTCTTATGCACATCTCTGCCTCTGGGCAAGTCACCATGGTCACTGCTAAAGACAGCTGTGGCATGGTCCAGGCCCAATCCCCGCGCCATCCTCCTGGCTGCCTCCTTTCTTCCACAATCTGGACAGAGTAGCTGCGAATCAGACGGTCGCGCACCACAGGCTCCAAGGGTTCAAGGTGAGGTCCGCAGTTTCATCTCCACGGGCTCTGCTTCCCGGCCATCTCGGGCAGAGCATGAGTTTCCTGTCCGTCTCGGGGCTTGCCTGGAAGGTGCCACTACGCCAGGCAGCCTCCTTCAAACTGGGTTTAGTGGGGTCCCTGCGTCCCGCGAACCCTCAGAAGGAAACACCTTCAAAAGCGGATGAGGGGACTCCTGGAGCTAGACACTGCCACCGCCTAAAAAGACGTTCACTTCCCGTTACTTCTTACTTTTAATGTGTACGTCCCTAGTCTATTTGGGGATGATGTTCACAAAACGGGTGAACGATCACAGCAGACTATATTTTTATTCAGTATATGAACTGTATATTTATTCTTAAAACATATTATAAATTACTTTATATAATAAATTGACTACAACTCTTTCAGAGAAGAGTTTCCATTTATTTGCTATTTAGTTTCATCGTTCCTTTGTAACAGACTATCATATTTCTTAGGTAAATTCACATGTCTATGGGTTCATGCAAATGAAGGAATTTAGAATATTACAATATCACAGTGGAACTTGTATTTCAATCATTTTACCATTTAATTAAAGAAAGCCAGATCTATTGGATAAAAATGCTAGATAACAAAATATTTTTTTAAATTTACTTCTATTTGACTGGAATAGTCTCTGACTTTATTTTCAAAAATAATTTACATTCTTTATCTTGGCTTCCTTTCTGTTTTTTAATTTTAATGACAAGAATGCATTACTTAATGTACTTAGTGGAGAGAAGAATCTCATGCAAATTTCATTGTCTGAAACAATCCAGGAGGAAAGTCTGATTTGATTTGTATGGATGTTCACAAACCTGGTGTACATGGTGCTACTGCTGATCTTTCCCCTAAGGACTCTGTCCCCTTACTGCTTTTGGAATGCTGTGCTGATTGCCAAAGCTAATTATAAGGAAGGTTCCCAGTGACTTTCAGAGATGGACCACAGAGGACCTTTTGTGTAAATAAAATGCTATTTGTGATAAATTGCCAAGAGATGTCATGTAATACTAACTCCTGTACTGGTAAGTATGAGTGTGTAACTTCAGTTATTTTTATTCTATGCCTTATACTGGCACAAAGGGAAAGACAGATAATTGGAAATAGTCGATTTAGTAGTACTAATACTACATTTACCGTAGTCATCATTAATGTATATTTTTCCCCAAACTATGATTACACAAATAATTATTTATTCTGTTTCCAGGGAAGATATGTAGGAAAATTCCTTCGTGTTTGGGGTTGTGGGTGGAGGTTGGAGGAGGAATATGTATGTATGGATATGTGTGTGTATATGTATCAAATCCTCCAAATACATATATATGGAAAAGCTACACACAAACAACTGTATACTTATATATTGTCTGATGCTTCATTTTCTATTTCTGATACTTTACAAAGTTAAAGTACTTATATGAAAAAATGCTAGCATGATTATGAATATAGAACACCGTAAATACTTAATATTTATGGGAGTCTGGATTCAAATCAGAGCAAAATATTGAGTATTCATGATGAAAAATACTTTTCAGACATAATAAAAGCTGATTAAAATACCGGGAGCACCACTCAGTGATGCCGTGAGAGTCCAACAAAGCAGGACACAGGAACGGAGATGCTGAGGGTAACCTGGAGAGTCACCTCTGAATAATACAGCCACACTCGAGAGTCCAGTTTTCTAATAGGCTCATCTACTCTGAGCCAGGAAAAAATGTTCTCAGTGTGTATTCCTGATGTTAGTCCTCTGCTCTAGAGCCTAGCTGTCTATCAAGCTCCATCTACCATGAACGTGGACTCATGTCCCTGCCCTGTGTTACAGTCTCTGTGCCATGGAGACCACATCTACAGTAGTGAATACAGTGCTCACTAAATTCAGAAAATGAAGAGGGGGGGCATTCCTTCAAGGATCTGGTATTACACATTATAAAGAGGAAAATGTTTTAAAATCACAAGAATATTTCTTTTTCCTATAGATACCTTTCATATGTAGTGGAAGTTAGAAAATTTAAGCTTGAAAAGTTGGGGTTGACAATGGAGGCTGACAAAAACAATGGCAACCAAGAATTATAAGTAATAAGGTAAGGAAAATGAGTCAAACAAATTTTACTGACCAGTAGCTCTGCTATCACATGTGAACTGACACAGGGATTGAATGAAGGTGACATTAGGTTTTGTTCAGTATGTGGTCTCATGAGTTCCATTTATGCCAATTGCATTAACGCAATTTCTAATAATATTGCCATTTGTTTCTCAAATGTGTTATATTGCAATAAATTACATAGTCACTTTACATTAAAGGATTTTGAAATAAAGCACTGTCTACATTAAAGGACATATTCTAGTTTGTGCATTAACAATTGACTTGCAGTGTTTACAGTTAGATTACTGGTATATTAACCACTTGTCAATTTCTAGAAAGCACTGATTGCTTCTCTGTACCTCTCTGTACCACCAGAGTTTTACATTTGAAGAATAGATATTATATCACTCCCCACCTCACAGGATTATATCAATAGTTTATGTACTGTACTTTAAACAGTGCATGAAGCATGGCAAGATAATCATATGTTTGCTGTTATTAAGATTATACATTGCACTAAATCATATGTATATGCAAATTGGGGCAGTTTTAAAAGATTTCAGAAGTAGAAAGAAAGCAGCAACAGATACAGAGATGAATGTAAAGTGCATACCTAGTTACAAAGAGTAAGAACTTGGACAAAGGGAGAGATGGGGTACACTGTTTCCAGTGAGGAGGCTGAAAGTGTATATTTCATATCCTTTCACAGTGAATTCATTATACCCCCAATTAAAGGCCTCATAATGTAGTAAAAGAGGGCAACAAAAGCCAAAGAAGTATAATCCAAGGAGGAGATTTAGGAT